GAGTTTTGTTTGTTCATTTGTTTGTTTTAAATATAAGAGACAAATGACATAGATTAAACAGAGTGTCTCTGGTGAAGAAGAAAACTAGGGGCGGGGATTCAGGGTGAAGTGGAAAAACCAGTCACTAAACAAGAAGGGGGCCATTGAGTCAAAGACGAAGTGTGCCAGGAACCGAAGAGAGCAGAGAACTCCCTCTGCTGGGGGCGACGACGTCCCCCTCGCCTCCCCTTTTCTTTCTTATTATGTAGAGCAAACTGCCCAATGCACAGACACTTCCATTCAAGGTTGTGGATACTCACACCTTAATGCCTGGGGCTCCCCCACCCCTCTCTTTTACTCCCACGTGCCTCCCAAGGCAAGAAGTGGAAAGCTGGAAAGAATGAATACATTTATGTTTCTCTGAGATCAATTAAGGCATTGCAGCACAGCAGTCTTTAAGAGCACCAGGGGGCAGGGCTGGGTAAAATTTATCACAAAGTATTGAGTTTGAGCTGGGAAGGGACCCTCCCTGCCAGTGCCTGGCTGTGATTAGACAGAGGGTTTCAAATCACCAGAGACTGGAAGGTCAGTCTTTTTTCTACCTGCTTCTCCCGACCATGGGCAGACAGGCAGAGCCTGGGACAGTAGTATCTGCTAAACCACAGCAGTCTGCTTCTTGGCCAGGAAAGTTTTTGTGCAGGGAATGGGCGTCCTGGGACAAAGGGCCACAGAGCGGAGACAATGGCCCCGCTGTGTGCCCCCAGACAGCGGGCCTGAGATGATTCCTAAAGACATTTTTGTTGGGTTACTGCACACCCACAAATAGCTGTTTGAAAGAGGAGGAAGAACAAAACTTGACAGTTACAGGGTTATTTAGAAAAGACATTTTAAAACTAACAGATACACAGATGCACCCGTTCGTTCTTGTAATAGGCTCTAAATTGTTCTCCCAGCCTCCGGCCTCTCCCACACCAATCCATTCTGCACATTGTGGCAGGCGTAATCTCCCTGAAGCACAGATTTGATCTTGTTACTTCAATGCTCAAGTACCTTCAATGGCTCCCCATTGCCTTTAAAATAACCAGTCTCCCAGGCTGGTGTGGCTAAGAGGATTGAGCACTGGCCAAATGGAAAGGTCACTGGTTCGATCCCCAGTCAGGGCACATGCCTGGGATTCAGGCCAGGTCCCTAGTTGGGGGCATGTGAGAGGCAATCAATTGATGTATCTCTTGCACATTGATATTTCTGTCCCTCTCTTTCTCCCTCCCTTCCCCTCTTAGAAAAAATCTTGTAAAAGTAGTCTATCATCTCCCTGGCTGATGTAGCTCAGTGGATTGAGTATGGGCTATAAACCAGAGGGTCACCAATTCAATTCCTAGTCAGGGCACATGCTTGGGTTGCAGGCCAGGTCCCAGTATGAGGAGCAGGAGGAGCAACCACACATTGATAGTTCTCTTCTCCTCTTCCCCTCTCTCTAAAAATAATAAATGAAATCTTTTAAAAAAATAGCCTATCATTGAAGATCCTTCATACTGGAGCCTCTCTTCTCTCCTGAGCCCATCTCCCACTGTTTTTTCTCTCCTTTTACATCTCCTTGGACATCTGCTTAATTTAAGTGTCTCTCTCCAGTAGGGGGCTCTTCTTTTGGGAAAATTTTTCAATTAGCAATAATCATGCCTCGGATAAACCTCATTGACTATGATACTGCCACTGTGCAAAGCTAGGGCTCTCTTCTTTTAAAAAATATTTAAAAATTTTATTGATTTTAGAAAGAGAGGAAGGGAAAGAGAGAGGGAGAGAGAGAAACATCGATTTGTTCCACTTATCAATGCATCCATTGGTTGACTATTACACATGCCCTGAGTGGGGATTGAACAAATGATCACGGTGTATTGGGACCATGCTCTGACCACCTGAGCTACCTGGCCAGGCCAGGGCTCTCTATCTCCCTTCCTCTGCCCCCACTCTTCCCCTGACTCACTTCTACTCAGTCTTTATCACTCTTCGTGCAGATGTTACTTCTTCTGAGGACCTTCTTCCCTACGCACCAGTGTCTGGGCTGAGCTGGGTGACCCAGCAAGAGGCTTCCATAACACCCTGAACTTCCTATGTAAGAAATAATAGTTTGTTTATTTGCTTGTCTTTCCTGCTACACAACAAATTCTATGAGATCAGGAAGAAGACAAAGATGTCTGCTCCCACCGCTTCAATTATAAATAGTGCTGGGAGGTCTAGCCAGAGGACTTGAGCACATTGTAAAGGAAGAAGTCAAGTCATCTCTATTTATAGATGCCATGATCTTACATTCAGAAAGTCTAAAGATTTTACAGAAAAAAAAAAACTTAGAGCTAATAAACAAATTAAGCAAAATTGTAGGATGCAAAGTTGATATGCAAAAATCACTAGCAATGAACAACCTAAGAAGGAAATTAAGAAAACAATTCCATTTATCATAGCTACAAAAAAGGGTAAAATATTAGGAATAAATTTAACCGAAAAAGGGCAAGACTTGAACAATGAGGGCTACAAAATGTCATTGAAAAAAAAATTAAAAACCAAAATAAGTGGAAAGACATTCTGTACTCATGGATCAAAAAACATAATGTTACTAACATGGCAACATCCCCCAAATGATCTACAGGTTCAATGCAATCCTTATAAAATCTCAGCTGTTTGTTTGTTTTTTCGAAATTGACAAGCTAATCCTAAAATTCGTGTGGAGATGTAAGGGACCCAGAGTAGCTACAATATCCTGAAAAAGAAAAAAAAAAAAAAAAGATGGGGGACCAAACAAAGTTAGAGAACTTATGCTTCCAGACTTCAGAGTCTACTACACTATCATGACAGTGTGGTATCAGCATAAGAAGAGAAATATGGATTAATGAAGTAGAATTCAGGGACCAGAAATAAGTCTTTATATTTATGGTCCATTAATTTTTGATAAGGGTACCAAGAATTCAACTCAATTTGGCACTATGACCTACGACTGGACTTACACATGCCTGGCACACAGTACGAGCTTAGTGGATGGCAAGCGTCACTATTGGTGATTTGGGTTCCATTTCACTGTCTCTCACACTCCTATGGGTTTCCCAACTTTGGCATCTCAGCACCTGGGGTGGTTAACAGCAGGTCTTCAAATGGTATTGCTTTTGTAATCTTCATCAAGTTCACACATTTTCAAACTCACAGAAAGGTCTGTTGTTGGCCACACTCCTTCCCCTTCCGCCCTTCAGAGTGAGCATGCCCTGATTGAAAGGCTCAGGGTTTCCCCTCAGAACCCCACTGACATAGTCAGGAAAAGGAAGTTTTTAGAAAAGGTCTTTGCTAGCTCTACACTTAATGGAAATAAATGCAACAAACATTTGATTTCATATTTTTATTTTTAGACATTTTCTTATATGCATATAGTATTTATTGATTCAGTGGCCAAAGGAGATAGCATTTGCTCAGTTAGGAAAGGCACTTGTCAGAAAGAAAAGAGGCAAAGGTATTGCAAGATCCCCGTCACCAGCTGGAGCCTCCTTGAGAGCAGAGTGTGATAATGAGTGAGCAGCACCTAACTTGCACTGAGGAACTCTGGAAGGACTTCCATCGGCTAAGACAAAACACTAACACCCTTTGATTTCCTCCCTCACCTTGCCGCCTTCCCTTCGTTCCTCCATTTCCAAGCTTTCATTTAGCAAGAGAACAGGTATTAGAAAAGAATTCTAGAAATCCCAGGACCAGTCAACTGTGGGCAGAAGAGTCTGATTTTAGGGCTGGAATATTGCAAACAATTTTTTTAAGCAGAATACATTTAGGAAATATATCTATTGGGACTCGAGACTATTTGGCTTTGCCCAAGTTCCTTGGGCCTAAGTGTTGGGAAATGAAGCAGGATTCCGCAGAGCTTGTATGGGTTTGGATGGGGCTCCTTTTGCTACAATGGTGGAAGCTCAAAGAAGCTACCAAGTGGCTTTGCCCCTGCTTTCGATCTGGAAGCCAGACCACTGACCTCCACTCGACACACGGGCAAGCCTCTCCTCTTCTTGTTCATCTCACAACAAATCCGTGTTCTTTGACTCAGGATGGTGGAGAAGAGTGTGATACAACAACAACAAAAAAGATGGACTTTGGGGTCAAAGAGACCTGGTCTTTGAAACTTCCTAGCTGTGTGACTTTGGACAAGTACTTTTTTTCTTTGAAATTTGAAGAAATTCTCAAATTCTCTTTGAAATTCTCATCTGCAGGAAAAGAATACCTCCCAAGGTTATCAGGAAACATAAATTCTGTAAGATAATTTGTGTGAAAGCACCTTGCACATGCCTGGTACTTGGTGGATATTTAAACAAAGTACAGGCCCTGGCCAGTGGGGCTCATTTGATTGGAGCATCCTATCATAATCCAAAAGGTGGTGGGTGTGATTCCCAGTCACAAACTAGGGCACATACCTAGTTTGCATGTTCTGTCCCCCGTTGGGGCACATGGGAGAGGCAACCAATCCTGTCTCTTTGTTTCTCTCTCTCTCTCTCCCCCATCCCCTTCTTTTCTCTCTAAAAACAATGAAAAAAAATGACTTCAGTGAGGATGAAAATAGTATGGAGAAAAGATGTCCAAGCAGGAAAAATTTACCAGTATTTCTTCAGATATATTTAAATGAGCAATTTTATAGAGGGATGACATCACGAGCTGTGTAACCCAGGAGTCATTCCTCTTATATCCCTGATCCTTCATTTCCCTTCAGAGAGGATTCTAACATCAAGAGGGAGAGATTCCTAGACTCCGAGGTTAAATGTCGGAGTGCGTCACTCTCTGTAACAGAATAAAGATCTATTACCTCACTTCCGGGATGTCTTCAACTGTGAGATGCACAACTGATTTAAAAAAACAGCTTTCTGAGAGAGAGAGAGGCTACATCAATGGACCCATCAATTTTAAGACACATTTGATTTTAGAATCATTGAAATGCAATGGAAGAAATATCATAGTAGTAATGTTCCCGTTTATGATGTATTTGCTGAGGCCAGGCACGGTGGCTTGTGACTGTTACCCAGTGAGGCAGAAGTCATCATGCCCACTTCATGGTTAGGAAACCAAACAGGGAGAAGTCAGGTCACTTTTCCAAGGCCATACAACCAGGAAGTAGGGCTTGGAAGGCAGGTCTTCTCGATTCCAAAATAAATGCTTTTTCCCCTCTCAGTAGTGTCCTCCAGAACAAGGAATCAAAGAGATCAGCTCCCTAGAGAGAAATGATCTGTGAATGTGGTACTTTGAATGTGGTCTGAATCTCTTCAAGGTGACTAGGAAGGGCATAGGTAAAATAGAGTTGTTGTAATCTAATCAGTCTCCAAATACTGGTCCTCTGAGATAACATGTTAACTGGAGAGGATTGTTCAGAACCCAAATCCAGAGGAGCCCAGAAATCAGATGATCCGGGGTTAATGAGCTTTTGTCTTGGAGACTGTTTTCTTCAAAGTCACCCTCTTCCTCCTGATATGATTAGAAACCTTTGGAGAAGAATTCTGGTTTACCCTTAACCTCTTTAAAGAGGGAAAACTTTGCTGACCAATCAATCACCCTGAGCTAGTTAGCAGTCATCTAGTACTGGAACATGTTACACATTAAGGAGCTGGTATTCTGGTTAGTTAGTTTCCCTGATTATGGGATTGAATAGTTGCTCTGCAAAGCTGTACATATGGCCCTTACTCTGATGTGACCCAGTTGTGACACTCTTGGAGCATGTCCTAACCCCTGACCCGAAAACTCCTGGGCAATCTGTCTAGCTCTCATGTTTGGGGTGGCGGCGAGGGGGCCACACCCACATCACTGGATCCCCAACATAGCCCCACCTCCTCAGATGACAACAGAGCGCTCTGCGGTTTTTTGGTGAGGTGGCAGTACAGATACAGACGTAGTGGGGGCGGGGCGGGGCGGGGCAGGCTGGGGTTGGGGTTGCCTGAAGCATCAGGGGTTGCAGGAGATGCCCTGTTGACCCGACTGGAAGAAACTCATAGTGAAGCTGTCAAAGGAGAAATGTGCTTCTAGGTCTGGACTACAGAAGGCTCTTCTGTGGCCAAGACAGCACCAGGGTGGGCCAGTTACCGAATCTTCATTTGGACATCAACAGGGCTGAAGGTCACAGATGCAGAGTGCTTGCCGCTTCTCTTTGGGCCCTGGGCAAAAGAGGAGGCCGGCTTGGCGCCCTTGGGCTCCAGCTCCCGCTTGGCCCTCATTTTCCTGCAATGAGATACGCACACATGGTTGAGTGTCCTCCTTTGTATACCCAGAGAATGGGTTCTGGGAATGGGATCTGGCAAAAATATTAATGTAGATGGTCATAAATCATGTTGCTTAATTGCCAAGCACAATTTCACAACTGGAAGGGGTCTTAGACATTAGCTAGTCTGACCCTTCTACTTTTTTTTTTGTTTAATCTATATTAGATATTTATTTAATTTTTTCCTTTTAATAAATCAGTAACGTGTCAGATAGTTGGCTGTATTCAAGACAAAACAGGGGACTTCTGGTCAAGACAGTGACTCGCCTCCTTGCACAACCACATCAAAATTACAACTAAAATATGGAACAACCATCACTCAGAACTGTCAGAAATCAAGTTGAATACCAGTCTGACAATGATGGAATTAAAGAAACCACACACATCCAGACTGGTAGGAGGGGTGAAGATGCAGAACAGGCTGGTCCCACACCCATGTGTGGTAGATTAAAATTGGGGAGGGATATCTTAGGAGCAAGGAGTCCCAGTCCCACCCCAGGCCCCCCACCCCAGGGTTCCAGTGCCAGGAAGATAGGTCCCCACAACTTCTGGCTGCAAAAACCAGCAGAGATTGAGTCAGTAGAAGAAACTTCTGGAGTTCAAAGCATTTCCCTTAAAGAACCCACACATGGACTTACTCAGGTTCAATCTCTTTGAGCTCTATCACAGGGGTAGCACCTTGCTGGGCACCACTGGCGTACGGGGAGGAACCGAAGTTTCCGGCATCATGGCGAGAGCTGGGGGAACAAGTTTTCTCTCAGACAGAAAGGTGGGCAGAGGCCATTGTCCCTTTCTGAACCCTTCCCCCACAGAGCCACAAGCCCTGCAAGCCAGCAAGCTGGTACCATATCGGAGACTCTATATCAACTTGGCTACCGCTGTTTGCCCCATCCTGGAGATCCCCTGAGACTTTGTCCCACCCAACTTACTGGTCCACCCAAACTGTTAACAGTGGCTTTTCCATATGAATAGCTCATCTTGGCTCATGTTTCACAACTTCCTAAATCCTATCAAATAAGCAACAGATGGCCTCAGAGACTCCCTAGCCCAGGTACCTCTTACTAAGTGGACCCAGGGATGGTACTAGCAGCAGCCAGCCTAGGTTCACAGCCTGGTTTGCCTGGGAATCTCCAAGCCCAGCACAAGAGGCAGACATCTCAGACTGTTTTATAGCTCATGCAGGGTGGCCCTGGGGTAAATACAGGTGGGAGCTGACCTTGGTCTGCACCACTAGGGAAATCTCAGAGTCCGTATACCAGGTGGACAACTACAGACCACGTCAGAGCACCTCCATCCTGAGCCTGCACAGCTGATTTTCCACAGAGGGTGGAGGTTGGTGGTCAGTGGTCACAGCCAGTTCTTGTAGCTGAATGGCTTGGGTAAATCCCTCCTACTGACCTGCCCACAGAAATCAAGGCTCAACTACGAGAGGAGGGGGTACTTAGCCTACTGAAGGTACACCTCAAGTACTCAGCTTGGATAATAGAGAAGGCTGGGCCAGTGGACACTACAGCACACCTACTATGTTAGGCCACACTACCAAAACATGGAGTCTTAGCAGCTCTACCTAATACACAGCAACAAACACAGGGAGGCTGCCAAAATGAGCAGACAAAGACACATGGCCCAAATGAAAAACAGGTCAAAACTCCAGAAAAAGGGCTAAATGAAATGGAGATAAGCAATCTCTCAGATGCAGTTTCCAACACTAGTTACAAGGATCCTCAAGAAACTTAGTGAGGACCTCAACAACATACAAACTGATCCAGTCAGAAACAAAGGATCCACTAACTGAAATAAAGAACAATTTATAGGGAAACAACAGTAGAATGCAGAAAGTCAAGAATCCAATTGATGATTTGGAACATAAGGTAGCAAAAAACAACCAATCAGAACAATGAGATGAAGAAAAGAATCCAGAGAAAATGGGGGTAGAGTAAGTAGCCTTTGGGACAATTTCAAGCATTCCAACATTTGCCTCATAGGGGTGCCAGAAGGAGAAGAGAAAGTGCAAGTAATTGGGAATCTATTTGAAAAAAGTAATGAAAGAAAACTTCCCTAATTTGGTGAAGGAAATGGACCTGGAAGTCCAGGAAGCACAGAGAGTCCCAAACAAGATGGATGCAAAGAGCCCCACTCCCAGACACATCATAATTAAAACGTCAAAGTTTAAAGATAAAGAGTTTCAAAAGCAGCAAGAGAAAAGCAGTTAGTCACCTACAGGGGTATCACCACAGGACTGTCAGCTGATTTCTTAAAAGAAACTTTGCAGGCTAGAAGGCATTGGCAAAAATTATTCAAAGTCATGAAAAGCAAGGACCTACAGCCAAGATTGCTCTATCCAGCAAAGCTAACATTTAGAATCAAAGGGCAGATAAAGAGCTTCCAAGACAAGAAAAAACTAAAGGAGTTCATCATCACCAAACCATTATTATATGAAATGTTAAAGGGACTTATTTGAGAAGAAGAAGATCAAAACTATGAACAATAAAATGGCAATAAATACATATTAACAACAATTGAATCTAAAAAACAAACTAAGCAAACAAGAAGAACAGAGACATTGAGCATTTTGATGGTTGTCAGATGGGAGGGTGGTGTGGGGGAATGGGTGAAGAGGTGAGGGGATTAAGTACAAATAGGAAGCTACAGAATAGCTATGGTGTGTAAAGTATAGTACAGGAAATGGAGCAGCCAAAGAGCTTATACACATGGTCCATGGACATGAACAATTGTGGGCGATCACCTGAGGGAGTGGGGTGTGCTGGGTAGAGGGAAGCAAAGGGGGGAAAACTGGAATAACTATAATAGCATAGTCAATAAAAAAGAAAGAAAATTTAAAAAAAGACAAAACAAAGATATTACATTTTTGGTAGCGTGAGTTAAATTTTGTAGCCTCGTATGCTTACTAAGTTTATTGTTAGAAATATTTAGAAACTTTTAACATAACTGAGAAGAGAATATACTTAAACTGTATATACTGTCTTTTATTTTACACAGCATAAAATTCAATAGTTAACAACAATCTCTAATTCTAATGTCTACATGATATTTCATCTTGTTGAGCAATCAAATCCTCAGAAAAGTTGCACAAATACTACAATTAATATCTGAATACCCTTCACCAAACAGTTCACTGATTGTTATAAATTTGCCATATTTGCTTTCTTTCTCTCTCTCTCCCCATTCACACACAGGCAGACATACATCCAGAATTAATTTGTTTGAAATCATGAACCATTTGGGAGTTAGTGGCAGGTACCATGCCACTTTCCCCTTGATAACACTAAGAACAAGAGCTTTCTCTCATGTGACCATGCTGCAGTGATTGTACTTCCCGACCCTTGCATGTAAAAGGTGATAAAACCAGTCCTGAGAGGTTAAATGACTTGCCTAGTTTTGACAGACCAAACATCACGTAAAGAGGGTTGAGTGGAGTCTCCAACCACATTGCAAGCTAGAAAAGGGGCTCAGAGCTCCAGCGTCTATAGAAAGGAATGAAGGGCGGCTGCAGGGCCAGGGTTGATAACACTTCCTGGTTTGGGATAGACTCAAATTGGAACACCCTGAAGATTTTTTAAAAATAATTTATTAAATGTTATTATTATTATTGTTGTTGCATTACATGCAGTGGCGGGAGGATTTTCTCTGAAACCAGATGGACTGTGCTTGAGATCGAACTCTGGCGATCAGGGCTGAGCGACCTTGGTTATGTCACTTAATCTTCCTGGGCCTGTTTCATGTCTAAAAATTGGCAATAACAGCAGTGCCCACCTTGCGGGGTTGTTGCGAGATGTAAATGAGTTAATGCATGTAAGGAGCTTAAAACCATGCCTGGTACATGGCAGGAAATGAAAATAGGTCATCGACCATCATAAATAATGTTCATTTTATTATAAAAACAATGCATGTTTACTAGTCCTCCAAAATAAGGAAGCACAGGCCCTTTCCCTGTAAAAGCCAACAACTAACTAGCGATCCCATCCGGACTTACTGCTGGCCGACGCCTTTGTATCCCTCGAGCCCTCCGTGGATGTGAGTGTCCGCAACCCAGGCGTGTGATTCACTGTGCACACTGTTCTTAAACTTTGACAAAAAGCTTTCCTCACAAGTAATATGCTTCTACAGTATCTTTTTAAAAATGGCTTTCAGGACTTCCACCATGTGGTTGTACTTACGGTCTTTTATTTTATTCTTTTTCCTCATTAAACTTTGTTTTAATGGGTCTCAAAATTCTGTGACAGATTTTTAGCCAAGTTGTTTCCATAAAAAAAGGACTGATTAAAAAAACTAATCATTTCAAAACTGCTGCCCATGTAACTTACCACCTTTTAATTTTGGTTTGTTTCCTGAAAAGAATTACCTTCCAGCAAAGTTGTAACTAGAGGTAATAACACAACATTTATTCTTTCTACAATCATGTTATATTGTTTTATTTCCTCTTCTTTGGCCCCAGAAAGTGGAGTCAGGTATACGTGCCTTTGAGTATCTGTCTCCTGAAATATCCATTTGGCTCACTGACTGCAACCTGGCAGAGGACTCCCCGAGAGAAGAGGATTGAAACATTCCTCTATTAACTGGATATTATGTAAAGATGTTTGCCACGGTGCTCAAGGCCTTTTATCATTGTCATTATCATCATTGTACTTACACTTGATCTCAGCCAAAAGGCTGAAAAGCGATCATCATTATATTTAAAAATATTTCTCCTAGTACAAAAATATTTGGTCACTATGAAGTTTCCATAGTAGAATAGGTATCCAAAAAGGACTCACAAAGGCTTGAGCATTGGATGATGGACCCATTCACACTGCACACTGGGCACCAGACAGGCACTCACAAGTGTCGGTTCCCATTTATTCGGGCATCACCAAAGGGGCCAGACAGTTCCAAAGCCCAGGACATCTCATACCTGTTGTACCTCTTCAGCAAGAACAGAACCATGGTGAGGATGATGACGACAACCACCACAACACCAGCGACGATGGCTCCAGAACCTACAAGGAGAACAGAGGTGGAGATGGCAAATGTGCAAACTGAAACTCAGAGGAGCATTTAGAGACGAGGATGGGGACCCGCCCTGTGTCACCTGACATCCCCACTGGGTCAAGGGGAGAAAGGGAGAATGTGAGGTTCACTGTGGACCCCAAGGTAAAGTCAGCACCTCTGCTCACAGCAGGGCCTGGTGGGCCGCGCCTCCGGCATATCACAGAATTTCACCCGCCAAAACTCGGCCTTAGCAAACCCTGTTCCTACTGGCCTTAACCCAGCCACAGGCTTCTTCTGTGAAACAGCAAGCAAAATACCCTGTCTTCTTTTTAAATTTTTTACTATTATTCATTTTTTATCTTTTACTTCTTTATTTTACTTTTAATTTTTTACTGAATTTACTGGAGTGTCTAGTTAATAAAATAATATAGGTTTAAGGTGTACAATTCTATAATATATATCATCTGTACTGGATTGTGTGTTCACCACCCCAAGTCGAGTACCTTCCCTCTTTTTAATAATATGAAAGCAATATGTAATTTTTGTAGATAATTTTGAATATATAAATACAAGCAGAAAAAAAGAAAAGGAAGGATGAAGATCTCATTGCCCCAAGAATCACTAACTGTCTGCACATATATACATTCACCAATGTGATCATGTAACATCATTAAACACCTGTCAGTCTTTACTAACCCTGGGTCTGAAAATCCATCTGAAGGAAATATTCATAAATATGGAATACATACACTTAATAAAAGCAGAACCACGTACTGTACACCAATTCATAACAATATCCTGATCATCTCTCCTGGCAATCACATATCGTTCTTTAGGACTTTTCATGGCTGTATAGTACTCCATTGTTTAGATGTGCTGTAGTTAATTTACCAATTCCCTACTGAGGATATTTATGTTGTTCTATATTTTGCACTATTAAAACAAGGTTATTGCCCTGGTTGGTGTAGCTCAGTGGATTGAGCGCAGCGAGCCTGCGAACCAAACAATCGAGGTTCGATTCCCAGTCAGGGCACGTGCCTGGGTTGCAGGCCAGTTCCCAGCAGGGGACGCACGAGAGGCAACCATACATTGATGTTTCTCTCCCTCTCTCCTTCCCTTCCGCTCTAAAGATAAATGAATAAAATCTTTTTAAAAAGTTTAAAACAAGGCTATCATTGTCACATAATACCTCAGGCTCTCACTTTTTTTAATGGCAGCTGACTTTTAAACTCAGATTTTATTTGTTTATATTTAGAGAGAGAAGAGCAAGGGAGAAAGAGAAACATCGACTGATTGGCTTTTGCACGCCCCCAACTGGGGACCTGGCCCGCAACCTGGGCAGGCGCCCTGACCGGGAATCCAACCAGCAGCCTTTCAGTTCGCAGGCTGATGCCACTGAGCCACACCAGCCAGGGCATAGGATTCTAATTTTAACATCATCTCGCAGTCCTAATGCTGAACTCTAATTTGGGGTTTGAAGTCAATATCCTCGTCAGAGTTGATATTGAAAATATTTTTAAAATTATTAAAAGGTTCATACTTTTAACCAATCTATTTGATCCTGAGAAGTTTATCTCAGGGAATAATCCTAAATACAGAAAAAAAACATGAATGAAGAAGTTTGTTACATTATTCATATTCTAAATATGGCAATGATTCAATAAGGTAGGGCACATATACCCCATGAAATATTATGCTATAATTTAAATGATGATTATGAAGACTACAGTAACACGGGAACACTTATGATGATGTAAAGTATAGAAAATAGAACGTGATATTATATACACTCCCACAAATACGTAACACATACATATAATGTTGGAACCATCAAAATATATGCGGACAAGCATAAAGTTGACAAAAGAAGTTAAATACAAAAGAGTGATGCATCATATGAGCACATTTACATAAAGCTCAGAACCAAGTAAAACGTATCTCTGGTGGGAGAAGTCAGAATAGTGGGCTCCCCGGGTGGGCGGGGACAGGGAGCGCGAGGGGCGCCAGGACTTCTGGGGTACGGGCGGCGGTCTGTTTCCTCACCTGGGGGCTGGTTACACGTGTGTGTTCACTTTGTGAAAATTCACCCAGCTGTGGGTTTTTGTGCACTTTTGAATATATGTAAAGCTTTTTATAAAAGGTTTACTTCAAAATGATGTGCAATATTCAGAGGAGGAAGGACAAGAGGAGGGGTGGGGAACCCAGCCATGGCAGTTCAGCTCGGGGCTCTCCAACCTCAGCCGGGCCGCTCCCTGCCGCGGGGACTGTCCTGTGCATGGCAGGATGTCCCGCAGCGTCCCCGGCCTCTTCTTCCCACACGCTGGTAGCATTTCTCTCCCCTCCCCCACCCAGGGGTGACAACCAGAAGTATCTCCAGACATTGTCAAATATCCCCCGGTGGTAGAACTGCCAGATAAAATACAGGCTACCTGTTTAAATGAGAATTTCTGGCAATGAATAATTTTTTAGTATGTCTCAAATATTATGCGGCTCACCTTTATAGTAAAACAAAAAATATTGTTTATCTTCAAGTCTACACCAGCTGGGTGTCCTGTGTTTTTAGTTACTAAATCTGGTAACCCTATCTGGGTGGGCACAATTGCCCAGCTAAGAACCATTACTTTTGGGGAAATAAACACGGAATCACTCCCACCTTGCTGACGGGGACTCCACCTACCCTGTAATTCCCTTCAGAAGTGTGTTGAGACACACCCCAGGAGGCCTCTGTAGGTCTCCACACCCAGCAAGAAGCAGGCTAATGTGTGGATGCTGTCCCAAGGGCAACCCTTTCTGGGCTTTCGTGGAAGGGAAACACCTGCCCTTAAGCCAGCTTCCTGCCAGCACCATGCCTGGAACTGTTTATCACTGGGGAACCCTCCACACGTGTCAGGAGGCCTATTCCATTCGAAGAAGCATATACCAGGTCAACTGAAATGATTGAAATGAGCTGGACTTCCCCTAATACAATCAGTTGGTTTTCTGAAGAGTGGCCCTCAAATTTGCCCTCCCAGGGGCCCCTGTTCCTGGTAAATGTCTCCCCTGGGATAACCCACCCCATCGACATTCATTTACTCCTTTGTGAACTGATGGGGTGTTTTGGCCTTGCAAAAACAGTATGGAAGTGGCTATACTTTAATGGGACCGGTTTTAGGGACATCTTACAAAAGATTCAAGTTTCCATCACCTGCTAGACTCCGAACGTCACTAATAAAAAATAGAAATAATAATAATACTCGCTAGGTATTTAGTACACATCAAGCTATTCTCAGCTCTTTACAGAGATGATCTCTTATGGACCTCACACCTGCCTTTTGCAGTAGCCTCATTAATATCCCCCTCTTACAGAGGAGGAGACAGGCACAGAGCACTGAAGTCACATGTTCAAGGTCACCCAGCTGGCAAGCAGTGGAACTGAGCCTGGGCCCCAGGCCATCTTTCTCCAGAGCCCAGGCTCTTGACTTCTACACCAGGAGCTGACCATGACACCTGTCCCACCATCCCTCCGCCCGCTGCCAAGCCAAAAGAAAGTGCCACTTACTTTTATACAGAGAGTCTTCTTCCTTGGTGGTCACATTCAGCGAGAAGAAGGGGGTTGTCCCTGTGGGGGCGGCTGTGGTCATTTTGATCCTGAGAAGAATGAAGATGAAATTTTGTTTCAAATCAAGAGTCAGCTCTGTAACCCCTGTGTGACGCTGCTTTTTGTCGTTATCTGGTTGAGTGGAGAATATTCAAGACTCTGGTTTCTCTTAGCAGCAGCTAAATAGAGGGCCCTTTACTATGTACTGTGGGGAATTAAAAATAGTGTCTGACATTGGGAAAGAACTTCATTTTCAAAGCAGTTCAAATTCATTCAACAATAGTCATTAAACTCCTCCTGACGAAGGTTCACACAGAAAGAATGTCTGAATTGATCTTCTAGAAACCGTGTGAAGGAGGTTATTATTATTGCCATTTGACTGATGGAACCGAAGCCCCCCTAAATGATGTGGACCCCCAAGTTTACCCAGTGGAATTTAAGCCAGGACGTCTGCCTCCCACGCTAGCAGGCCTTCTCCGCCCCACAACAATGTCTGAAATCATGTTCCTACTTTCAAAAGCTTCATCACCTAAGGAGGCAAAGGGAAAAAAAACTGACTATGGTTAGTAGTAGTCAGTGACACGAGCCACTGGGTTGTGAAAAATGGTTCCAAGGACCAGGGCAGTTTGGACGGGCAGGAGTGGTTTGGGGTGGGAGAAGGGAGGACAAAGGTCCGGCTGCATGAAGGCCTCACTGGAAAGAGAGGTGACCTGCGCTGAGCACTTCCCACGAACCCACCAGGCTCTGTCTCAGGTGTCTTCACGCACTGTATGAGCTCACGCCGTCCTCTCAACCGTCTACATTTTACAGCTGAGCAAACCGAGGCTCAAAGTGGTCGAGTGAACTGCCCGAAGTCTCACAGCTCTAAGATGTGGAGCTTAGATTCAAACCCATTCTCGGCGTGCACAGTATGCCTTCTTCCCCTGACGCCCCTAGGATTCAAGTCTGTGACCTTGTAATCTTCCACTTGAAGAGTGAGCCCACAGGCACGCTGTCAATACCACATCACGCATCAGAAACACGTGTGGACCTCCTCCACCAAGAATTATATTCTGAGCACAATGACATTATAAACAAACGCTCTGAACTACCAGCATCAAGAAAAGAAGGGAAACAAGCCACGCTTTGCTTTTCCTCTTCAGAGCAGCCAGGCTCGTCCTGCTGCTGGCAGTCGGAGGCTGGCGGGGGATCTGCGCCTGGAGAAGAGTGGTCCAGGCGTCTCTGGGGCCCTAAGAAGCCGTGAGGCCTCCGCATAGCTGCTCCCTCTTCCGGGGAAGAGATATTTTATATGCTTAACAAAATGTGCATCGATTTATTTACTTTATAAAATTTAATTTATAATATAATAGGAATCCATGTACCCAGCACTCAGATTGAACAAATGTTTATAATTATATTTTCTTCTATTCTTTATTTTAAAAAAGTAGACTCAGTTGAAATCCTTTTGTATCCTAGCTCAGTCCCTCCTCCAAAGTAACCACTGCCTTGGCCGTTGATGTATATGCTTTTCACCAAAGTTTTTTTGAATGGTTACTACATATGTATATGTCCGTAAGCATAGTGTCCACCCATAAATATGCACATCCATCATATAGTATATACCATAACCATTGTACATGGTTTGTTTTTTAAATCCATGTTTTGATTCAAATAGCAAATGCATGTAAAACAGGTTTCCCTTTCCCCTTGTTTCAGATGAGGACCCCAAGACTTGGGGATATAAAGCCAACTTTCCAGGCTCATACAGCCCGAAACCTGGCCCTGGGCGTCCAGGGAGTCACTACAGATCACGCACGGGCACATGCGCACTAGACACACACTGACCGGTAAGTCAGCCATCTAAGGCCCCCTCCGCAGAATAACCTCCTGAGTCACCTCGCAAGTTCCAGGTGCAACCCCCTTTCCGATGGGCCTCGCTACTCTCCTTCCCGAGAGAACAGTGAACAATCTCAAAGCAAATCTTGCCTCATCTCAGGACTGAGGGCTCTCAATTACATCTCTGTTCCTGCCACAGCAGAGAAGGCGGGATGGAGGGCGGTGGAGCACCCATGGCCAAGGACATGGGTGTTTTCACATGTGGGGCTCCAGTGAGTCTTGTTAACCAGATGAGACCCAGGAGGAGGATTTCGGTACCAAACACGCCTATGACCAGGGTCTATGGCTACAGGAAAGGGGGCAGTGCCCAGGAAGGGTGATGCTGGTTTTCAGCGACAGGGGTTAATTTAATAACAGTAGTAACAATAATAATAGTAATAATAACAACAACAACAATAATAAACTGCACACCAGTGCTTTACATGGAGGGTCTCTAACTCTCATACCTGTCTGGCAAGGGGGCCGTGCAATCCCTGTGCTTACTCTGCAAATGAGGAAACTGAGGCGCAGAGCAGAGTGAAACCACTATAAGCTCATGAGGCTAATGTGTAGCTGTGCTAGGATTCGAGCTGGGTCTGTCTGATTCCACGGCCCCTTCTCCATAGATCCTCCCAGTGAATACGCAATGTACAAATGGCCCAGTGCCCAGGGCTCACATCAGCTTCGGGCTTTGATGGGAAAACCCGCCTAGGCCGGGGCTCAGCAGACACAGCCAGAGCCCTTGCCCTGGGCCCCTGACCCTGACCGGTCCTACCTACCTGGTCCCTGTCCTGGGCAACACTCAGATCTCTGTCTCCAGCTGAGCCTCAATTCCATTGCCAGAATCAACTAGGAAATGTTGCTCCTTGAGTGGTTTACAAATGGCCTTGTGTGGGAAGTCAGTTTGGGAAGTGATGGAGCGTCGTGGCCATTTACTCACTGAGTCCCCACCTGCCCTCTCTTCCTTGGTCAAGTGTAAGTGCCGAAGCTGGAAGAGCAATGTTGCCAGGCCCACCTGTCCAAAGTGGTCTGCCCCAGTGGTACCCTCCTTCCCTCCAGCTTGGCCTAAAAGTTCCTCATTGGATAAGATGACAAAGACAGTACCAATCCCAGCTGCCCCTACTCAAACGGCCAACTATAACTCAGAGTAGGTGACCCATCAATGACCTTGACCCATCCCAACACTGGGATTGATTTCTCCCCATCACCTGAGATGTGGGATGTTCAGCATGGCCTGGTCTCTTCCACAGACAAGAACCTCACTATTCCCAAGCAGCCCCATGAGTTACTGGGATGTTTTAATTATTACAAAATTAATCTTCATATTGGAACCAAAATTTCTCTTCCTGCAATTTCTACCCATTGGACCTAATTCTCTTTCCATGAAGGCAATCTATGAGGAATGTGCTGTCGATGCCTTTAAAGCTAACGAGCTATGTGTTTGCGTTGATGCAGTGCAAGGTCAGTAGGTTTTGTGCAGCTACTGTGCTAAATATCCTGCATGTTATATCTCATTTAATTCTCACAACAACCCTATGGAGTTTGCAATTCCTGTTTTACAAACCAGAAAACTCAAGAAGTTGAAGAAAGTTGACCAAAATCACACAGTGAGTGAATAGTAGAATTTAGACTTGGGGCGGGGGGGCTGATAAGTATCCAGAAAAATGTCATTTCTAGACATTTCTGGAGTCATGTGGTCAGCTTGGGGTACATGTTTAAGGGAGACATTGATGCACAGGAAATTGAGGAGCCCCAGAGATTGTTTAAATGATCTGAGACTATTTATCTGAAAAGAAATTCATCAGAGAACATACAATTGGCATTTTCAAGGGCAGAAAGCTCCTGTGCTTAGAAGCAGGTTGGAACCACAGGACGTTTACCAGTCATTTGTAGTTACCGTATTTTTCAGAGTATAGGATTTACTAGTCATTTGTAGTTACCGTATTTTTCAGAGTATAGGACACTCTCACCCCACCACCCCCACATTTGGGAGGAATAATGATTGTTAATGCTGCTGTTGAGTTCTGTTTACATTCCATTGGTGAAATATTATGTTATTTATGTTATTAAATATTTTATCACATTTTTTGCTTCAAAAATTTTCCCCTATTTTCCTCCTCTAAAACCTAACCATCTGCTATCGCCACCTATTGATGGGAGGTGAATTTGAAGTGCTGATATCAGCTGCTCATACACAGCCTGTTGTGCTCCCAAACCTTTTTCAGACTTTTTATTATGCTTGTTTATGGTCAATCAAAGCAGCTACCCAACTGCTCCACCCAGTGGAAGTTTGAGTTTAACCTTTAGTGCATAGAAGTGCTTTTAACCTGACAGTTGTCACACGTAAGAGGTAGCAGATTACCCTCATGGAAAGAGAATTAGGATCAGAGGGCGAAAATCACAGGAAGCAAAGTGTTGGTTCCAATACAGTTTGTTTTCTAAACTGCAAAATGCTATGGGAATAAAAGGCAATAGCAGCCGCATTTTGAATGGTGACAATATTATGAGCTGCTGCCCAGTAGCTAGGACTCCATTATCTTGTGTGCAAATGTCTTTTTGAACTTCAGTGCAGGACTTTGCATTGATTCCTGTTAGCCTTGACTTTGTTGATCTGGGGCCTCAGGAGAGAAACTCAAGCTCCATGAATATGGTGTTCTAAGGAGGGAACTGAGGAGGGATTCGCCAGAACTTCCCGAGGGTTTGATTTTCTTCTCCGTCTCCACTGAGGGCAGAGACAGAGGAAACAGTGAAACTTCTCCCAGGAAGGTAAAAATTCCAATGCAACTGGTAGAGCGTGGGGGCCGCTGGGTGAGCAGGGGAAGAACAAGTCACAGATTCTTGGGGTGAGAATCAGGAGACCAGGGTTGCCTTTCCCACTCATTTTGCATGTGACTTTGGGAAGTTCTCTCCCCTCTCTACACCTGGGTTTTCCCTTCTGTAAAATGGTCCCATTTGAAGATGATCTCTACGGGCTTTTCAATCTGTGCTTCTACTGCACGCAACAGGCATTCATAGCTTAACTTAAGAACCAGTGTCTTCCAAAAGTTCATCTTTCTTTGCAGATACCAACTACTCAGGGTGTTAGGAGAGGGAAGTTAGCATGCATGATTCATTCTGGAAGGCCCCTGAGACTGGAACAGACTGAGGAGAACCCCACACAGGGGCTTGGTGTGGCAGCAGCAGTGCAGGGGGGCAA